TGTAGAAAAAATGCTAGTTCATTTAAATGATAATGACACGTATAAGCCTTTACCGAGAGACCCAACATAAGGACTTAAGAAGTGGGTTGACCTTGTTGTCGCAACTTGGTCTTGTGGTCAGAGAGCCATGTAGAACGCACCTAGTCCGAAGTCGTCTGCCATAGTAGTTGTCATGATTCCCAGCATCTGACAATGTACTTGATACATTCCTCAACACAAATAATATGGGAGTGGGTTAACCTCGTTGTCGCAACTTGGTCTTGTTGTCAGGGCGACTATGTAATAAGACCATAGTAATAAGCTTACTTTTAAAAATGGGTTGACCTCGTTGTCGCAACTTGGTCTTATGCTCGGGGAGACCAGGTTTGATAGAAGTGGGTTGACCTCGTTGTCGCAACTTGGTCTTGTTTTCAGGGAGACCAGGTAGAACGCACCCAGTCCGAAGTCGTCTGCCATAGTAGTTGTCATGATTTCCAGCATCTGACAGTGGACTTGATACATTCTCATTGAGAATGTCTCCCTGACCACAAGACCAAGTTACGACAACAAGGTCAACCCATTTCTATAAATCAAAAGGAGACTGCGACCAAACCAGAGACCACAACATATTGGTCTTTATATCTTCAAATAAAGACTTAAGACTAAGCTAAAGTATGCCCCTAAGGCATGCATAAGTAATGGTGAAATGGAAAAGTGAAAAATGAATCCACTACTCCAGGAGATGCAGGGGTCCTCACATCTTACGGTCTTCCTAAGGTTAACACAGAGTGTCCCTCTAAGATTAATTTCAAATAATAAAGGAAGCGTGCTGTATAAAATCTCACAGTTTTATGCATATCACTAACGAACTCTGTCAATTATTGGTTATATTCAGTTAAAAATTCGTTTGATTTAATGAAATTGCTAGATCAGCAGACAATTTCAGAAGACCATAAGCTAGTAAGCTTTGACGTTGTGTCTATGTACACAAACATTTCTCTCCAAGGAGCTATTTAAGCTCTGATACAAACTCTGGAAGAACATCCAGAGATAACACAAGTAATAAGACTGAGTGTAGCTTCCATTATTAGACTTATTAACCTATCCATGAGTAGCACATATTTTGCCTTTTATTGTAAGTTATACGGAAAAATTCAAGGATTAGCGATGGGATCTTGCCTGTCTCCCATCTTAGTGAATAATTCTACGGCAAGATTGGAGGATCATTTCTTGCAAGAGGCAATACTAACCCCCTAATTGTTGGTTAGATACATCGATGACTATTTTGTCATCTGGCCTCATGGTAAGGACAGTTTAGACAGTTTCCTACTTTCACTCGACCAGCGTGAAAGGAACATTAGGTTCACGATGGAAATGGAAGAGAATAAGTCCTTACCTTTTCTGAATGTTCTTATCATTATAGAAAAGGGTAAGTTAGGAAGAGATGTTTATATGAAGCCAAGATACGTTGGCTCTGATTAATTTTTTTTCCAACCATAGTTACAAGACTAAGGTTTGAATTTTGAAGTAATTGATTCTTAGAAGTATGAGGCTAGCGGATAGCAAACATTTGACTAAAGAGTTGCAACGACTGAAAATATATTCTTGGAAAATAATTAACCTTTGGACCTTATGGAGAATAATATCTCTCTACTGAGGAATAAATTTTCAGACGTAGACCATTTATTCAAGGATAGACAGACTGAGACATTTTCCCATATGCGAAGAAAAGTTGGGTTTTCGAGGAATCCCTTGTTTCATAATTGTTGAGCCTACTTCCATTTCAAGTGAAAGTGTTGGGTGAAGAGATTCGAAGGTCGGTTGCATCAGAAGATGACGGCGGATTCCTCTTGACCAGTTGTCGATTGGCTTTAATGGAAGATTCATGCTGACGCTGTTTTCGAGGCAATCTCCTTCGATTCCGGTTAAAAGGTGCTAAGCTTTCGTCCGTCATATGACGGACATCATCAGAGCGAGATAACATCGTCACAACAAAATTCAAGCTAATGAGTCAAGAAAATTTGACTCAGGAGATTCATTGAAACCCTGTTTCTCTTCGTATCTATTATCTATTTAAGCTCATTCGGCTACGGGGATTTTATCTTTGCCATTATCACTGTCTTTGCTTTTTACCCTTTGAGTTGACTTATTCAAGAATCATATACCTGGGGGTGTGCGCTGATTGGTTCATCTAATTTTTTATTACATGGGTCTTGCAATTTTAGTCATTTTTCTAGTATCCGTTGCTGGCCGACGGATATTGGAGACATAATGACTCCAATTAAACTAAAAATAAAAGACTATGTTTATTAGTTTTCGAGCCAAATAGGCTTCAATTCTAATATCATATTTGTATGATGAGTGCTATTATTATACTGATGAATTGAAGATAGGGTTTGATTTTGCATTGATTGCCACAATTTTGGGGCGTATATTGCTTTTAGATTTAATTAAAGTTCGATTCTTCGATTTGCCTCGATAATCGTTAAAAATCAATGTTACAACATATAGAAGCGGTTTTTTATCGCCAATAACATCGGCTTCCTGATCGTACTAGCCAACTATACCTTATTAGACAAACGGAAGGTCGAAACTGCAGTCCACCCTGGATGAGAATACCTTTTTGGAAAGCATGGCTATGTGAAATTCAATGGATGCATTATATCTACTCATACCATTGTCGGAAAATTCAACTACCAGTCCTTTCTCACCCTAAACGAAATATGATGATTGCATCTGGTGATTCACTGTTAGTCTAGAAACCCTAAAAATAAACAAATTACTACCCTTTTATCAATCATTTCAGGTTCGTATGACATTACTAACGTTTCTTCGAGTCTTCCACTTCCCTTTTTTTGATCGACCTCACGCAGAGAATAAAGTGGCTGGGATGAGTACTCCATCAGATAATTTAATGCAGCTTTATCCGTTTGAATTTATTTTATTATATCAGTCTTGGGATGGTTTGACTTTTTACTTGATTTTGTTTCTTTTCCAAGGCCAGTTTGTTTTCCGTGAATCGGACAGCCTGTCTCCAGGGTCAAATCTATTCACCTTTGACGTGCCCTTCGATGCTTCGTCAACCGATTGCGGTCAGATATCAGAACCACGTAAACAGAATCTTCGCGTCGGTGTCGGCATTTGCTACGACATTCGGTTTTCTGAGATGGCTCTGATATACGCACGCCAACTAGGCTGCCATCTATTACTTTATCCGGGCGCGTTCAGCACTACCACAGGTTTGTGCGTAACATGCTATCCTGAAAACAATGGTGATAAGTTTGGCTGGTTTCAATACTTTAGTTATTTATTTCTTATCGTCCTGCAAGCTTTAAGTCAGCCTCATTTCACGATAATACTGATTATTTCTA